TATTGTGACGCACAGTATGGTCAGTTATTATCGATTCATCCCAGTAGAGCTTGAGACTACCTTTTTGGAGGAGTTTATTTGGGTGGTACTTATAATATGGAGTTTTGTCATCTAACAAGTTGAACTTCACCGCCAGAGCCTGATGAAAAATTCTAGCCACATTGTTATGCCTCTGGAGATACTCGGTGCCAGCCAACACTCCACACCCACCTGTGATATGTTGGATTGATTCCAACGTCGCTGAGCATAATCGACATTTAACCGTAGTTGTTGCGTCTTTAAGAACATGCCTTCTATATGATCTAGTAGCAATAACTTGGTCTTGGATGGCGAGCAGAAATCCTTCTGTTTCGGAGAATATCTTTCCAGCTTTCAGCCATTCAATGGATATTTCCTTGTCAATCGAGCTATCATTTAATTTGCTGTAGAATCTTCCATGCAGAGATTTATTTTTCCATTCTGCCAAGCGTTCGTTTTCTGACACGATTGTAGAGACCTCACGATTGCTCAGGTTAAGTGCGGTTAGACCATAATCCAATCTTGAGATTGCGAGGTAAACCTCAGTTGTTTTTGTAAGAAAGTATCGGCGTAGGGCCGCTTCCTGCTTGCGGCAAGCTTCTTCGATATTTAGCAAACCACGTCCTCCTTCTTTCCTAGGCAAATACAGACGAGCTTTGGATGATATTGGATGGTGGGCCCGTTCTTGTGTGAGAGTTGTTCGCGCAAGGCGGTCGATCTCCTGTAGGCTGGTGTTTGACCAATGCAATATGCCGAAACTATAACCGAGAGCAGGTATTGCCCAGGTGTTAATAGCCTTGATTTTTTGTTTCCCGGTTAGCTGGGTTTTGAGCACTTTCCGCAATCTAATTTTGAACATTGTCAGAAGGTCTTGTTGCATATCTTTTCTTGCAATTTTAAGATGTTGCTGCATTCCGAGATATTTATATAACCTATTGTCTTCAAGCTCCCTGATGTACTCTTTTTCATTGATTAGAATATTCTGCATACTAACCACTTTTTCTTTGGTTACATGGAGCACCGCACATTTATCCAGACCGAGTGACATGCCTATATCACTACTAAAAGATGAAACGGCTTCAACCATACTTTGTAATTGGTCTTTGTTTTTCGCATATAGTTTAAGGTCATCCATGTACCAGCTGTGGCTGACTGTGGTGGCTTCGTCGTTGATGATTAATTTGTATCCCATCTTGTTCTTTCGAAGAATCCTGCTTAGTGGGAACAAAGCCATACAGAACCATAAGGGGCTTAGACAATCTCCTTGGTATATTCCTCTCAATATTTTAATTTATTAATTAATTTATTTATTTATTAATTATTATTATTATTATTATTATTATTATTATTATTATATTATATTCATAGAATAAAACTAATGATTTTAACTATGCCAGAGCCAGCTGTGGTAGAACTAACTAAACGATAAGACTAAAGGAATTCTATAAATAAATTAGAATTGTTATTGATACTCGTCACTTCATGCGATTATTGGTGAAAGTCCCTCCAGTATCTCATTTGAATATATTTTGACATTGTTGACCATACCGACACCGCAAAATGCAGAAATTGTTTTTTTATTAATATTATACTAAATCTCATTAAACTCAATTGCCCTCTCGAATGATTTTTTTATCATTTGGGACACTAGCGGATCCAGGATTTAATTTTAGGGGAGGGGCTTCAGCCCGAAAGATTTTTTTTTCGTATACATATAACGATAATTAATTTGAAAAAAAAAAGAAATAATTTAACTACCTATATGAAATGGGGTTTAAGTGGTTCTTGAAGTCCTATTAAATGTAATTACGCGAACAAGAATACTTTAAGAGATAGTTTATCATATTTTTTTCTATAAAACGTGGTTATATTTTACCATTTGGGAGGGGGAGGGGGCTTTAGCCCGAAAGTCAGATGGCTTCGAGAAGGTAGCCCCTCCACCTGAATCGGATGCAGCTGAGCTTATAACCCTTTCCTCTTAAACAAAATTATAATGGAACCTCAAAATAATCAAGATGTCAAGAATGGTGCAACGCGGCTTTCGTCATACGGACTTCTCGATTGGATATTGCAATGTTTTTGACACTATACAGTCCTGAAGCACTTTAAAACTTCTGGAGGTGCTGGACTGATACAAATCAGATATAACTGCGCTCCAGGAAATTAGATGGACTGGCAGAGGAAATTTAGAAAAGAGGAAGCACACCATCTATTACAGCTGTGACTAAAGATTGGATACTCATGGAACGGGCTTTGTAGTGTCTGCGAGGTGCATAGATTTGATCATGTACTACAAACCAGTGAGCCCGCGACTATGTTTACTTAGGGTCAAGGGTAAATTTTTCAATTACAGCTTGATTAGTTGTCACTCTCCAACTGAGACTCTGAGGAACAAGATAAGGAAGAATTCTATGGCTTGCTTGAAAGGTCAATAAGCACCTGTCCAAAAGCAAATATCAAGATCATCGCAGGCGACTTTAATGCTAAAGTCGGGAAAGAAAGAAGTTACACCTCAACAATCGGGAAGCACAGCCTACATGAAATAAGGAGTGGTAATGGACTTCGGCTTATCAATTTCTGTGAATCACAGAACCTCAGTGTTGGTAGCACCCTCTTTCCTCACAAAAATATACACAAGGGTACATGGCAATCACCTAATGGACTCACTGTTAATCAGAAAGACCATCTTTTGATTAATGCCAGGCATAAGTCAGATCTTCTCGATGTAAGAACATTGAGAGGAGCAAACATTGACTCCGATAATTATCTCGCCATACCAAAAGTAAGATCAAGAATCTCCCATGTTTAAAACAAAAGGGGCCAAAGAAGTAAACAAATTAACACCAGCAAGCTTAAGGAGACCGATGAATCGGAACGATATGCGTTGGAGGTTGACCGAGAACTTGATATTCTCCTTATGCATACCTACGACATAGAACAAATGCGTGGTATACAAAGCTGTCTTTTGAAAGCTGCCGATGAAACAATTGGAATGGAATGTTACCAGAGAAGGGCTAACTGGGCCTACTGGGAAAACACCAGTGCGGATTCCGCAAAGTTAGATCATCGGTCAATCAGATCTCACTCCGTATTATACTGGAACGAAGTAGAGCGTATTGCATCCATACGCATCACCTGTTTGTTTACTTCAAAGTTGCTTATGATAGTGTACTACGTTAACCTCTTTATCAAGCGATGAGGAAACTAAAGATCCTAGATAAACTAATTCGACTGGTTAAATTAACCATGGCAGAATCGATGTATGTGGTGCGTGTACAGAGCGAATTGTCAGAGATAAGCTGTGTAACTAATAGCGTGAGACAGGGAGATGCACTGACTTGTCTGCTCTTCAACATTGCATTCGAGAAAGCGGTGCGAGATGCACTGATCCAAATAACAGGCACAGTATTTAATTGAATGGTTCAGATCCTGGGTTATGCATACGATCTAGATATCGTCGGTAGATCCCAGGCTGCAGTTCGTGAGGCTGCTCTAGAAGCAACGGTCGGACTACGTGTAAATCATGTGAAAACGAAGTATATGAGTTTGGCATCTTGACAGATAATGTGCAGTTTGGCTCCTATAAGTTTAAAAAAGTGAATGCGTTCGTCTACCTGGGATCTCTGATAAGTGCGGGAAATTACATCACAAAGGAAATTGTGAGGAGAAAAGTCACTGCTAACCAATTTTCCTTTGGGCTGGGAAGACATTTAAGAAGCAAGTACCTACCAAGGACAACAAAATTACGGCTGTATAAGACACTAACCAGGCCGGCCCTGAAATATGGCTCGGAGTCTTGGGTAATATCTCGGATGGATGAGCGAAGTTGGTTGGCTTTTGACAGAAGAATTCTGCGCCGTATTTATTGACCTAGAAAAGTGGGTCAAACATACTTCAGGAGAGGTAATAAAAAAGATATATAATCTCCTTGGTGAACCTGACGTGAAAAATAATGAGTGAGGCCATTCATATTACCAGGCGTAGAGGATGACCGCGAATTATATAGATGGATGGTGTAGCAGAAGATGCCCGGACGATCCTGGGGGTCAAGGACTGGAGTACTGCTGCCTAACAGCGTGCAGATTGGCGGAAGTTATTGGAGGAGGCCAGGGCTCATTAATGGTCTGTCGAGCCAATGGATGAAGAAGAAGAAATTAAAATTTACTGTAATTTGGGTTTAAAATTTAATAAAATTCTTCAAACTTAAAAGCCCACTAATATTATTTTTGCATTTGGTAGAGAATTTTATGATGTTTTCATTAATATATAGTTCTATTGGTTGTGACCAGGGCAATGCACGAACATTTGTCACTTCACATTCGCGACTTGCCATTCCTAACATGGTCAAAGGATGGCCTAAGTACCCTGTAGCGCGAACGTTCATAGCACTCAGGGCATCGTGTGACTCTGGCTTAAATAAAATAGTTGTAGATTACGATGAGATGAAGCTATTTACGAAGTTTCAGGCGGATGTTAATAATTTGATAAAAAGGGTAAGGCTTTTTTTCTACTGCGGATACTATTAGACTTGGCCTTATTTCATGTGTTCATCAAAAAAGATTTGAACATCATTTTGGGGCAGTTCGTTCAGTTTTTTGTGTTGGAACATTAGCTTTTTTTTAAATAAATAGTAACAAGGATCACAACTATATGCAATTTATAGGGATGTGGGGGGATGCACGGTAGGGGGGTCTGGCCCACCATGTATTTAGGCCTAAAAGGCGAGGTAGGGTTGGAACAAAAAATGTTGGACTCCCTAAGTAAAACAAAAAAATGTTGCATGTAGAAGTTTAATGATCAAAATTAAATAAGTAATTCAGATAAATCGTTTATTGCAGATAGTCTGTAGCTTTAATTTTAATATCTGACAGTATTTTTAAAAAAATTATCTATTGAGTAAATATCTTTCAATATAAAATATATATTTTTCAATTATGAAATGCATTATTCTGATAAGATAAGGGTTAAATACATCACTTATATTTTCTTCATTTTTAGTTATCTTGATAGTTGGAAAAAAAAACTCGTACCTCTTTGTTATAACCGCCAACACTTTGTCCTAATAAATATAAAATATTGTGTTATCAATTATACCGCCATACGAATTATGTATTATTTTTGTATTACTTATTTATTTATGTGACTGAACCGTCTGGTAGCATTCTAAAGTATTTTCTCTTTTGTTAATTGGTTTTGGCCATGAATTAATTTTGGATATATAGGCGTCTTTAACCATCTTATCAATCCTTATCTAACTATTTTAATCGTTTTATCTATCTATTCCCTATTTAATTCAGAATACTGGCCTGTGATCATGTCTAAAGTGAAGGTATATTAAGTGATTTGTATTTCTTATTTTCTTTAGTGAGCTGCTATGGTTTCGGAAACTTTTATCATAAATCTCTTCCTCCCAAATTTCCAGTAATCATTGGGATTTAAGAGTTGTACAAAAGTAACTAATATTTACAATTGTTTTTCCTTACAAGAATTCTGATGAAAAAAAAAAAGAATTTTCTGACCTAATATAAGGTTAATTTATGTGTTAGTTATAAGAGGTTTGGAATAATAATCAATTGTTTATTTTAGTTTTTGAAGATTATATTTGTTGTTACTACATTAGAAGTGTTGCTACACTTTGGTGGGGGGCACATGATCTTTTCATGGTCACATTATTAATGAATTAGGATAATAGCCGAGTGTGTCCATTGGTGACTGAACCGTCTGGTAGCATTCCGACCTTTTTTTGTTTATTCTAATTACCTTGTAAATTTTAAATTAATAGAATATAAATTTGTGGTTTATTGGAAGTTAAAATAAAAATGTACAAAATAATAATATATAAATTGTACTCTTGTCACAGATATCATTGCATTCAGGATAAAAATTTGGGTCATGGCCCAAATTTTTCAATTAATTTTTGCATTTAACATAATAATAATTAAATAATTTTATAAACCATACTTCTTGTCACTCTCTGATTCAATTATGCAACTTTACTATCTTGGGTGTACCAAGTTTTAAGTTGATTCTATTTTGATCTACCAAAATCTATCTTGGTAAAATACATTAGTGAGTAGCTAATTCGAGTCATCATTAAGAATTGTAAGAAATGTAAATGTGAAACCATAAGTTCAAACCATAGCTTATTATTATTACTTTCACTTTATTCTGTAGCAAACATTAATTTAATTAATATAAAGTTTATGCAATCAGGAATTTTTTCTAAAAATGTGAATTTGTAGTTCAAGAGGATCAAGAAAAAAAAGTTGCAAATAATTCATTATCATCTTAGCTAGATTCGGATTCGGGATTCGGACCGTCACCAAAAGCCTCTGCCAGTTGGTACATTCCTGTGAAGCATCTGTCCATTTTCAGATTTGTAGATCTTTTGAGACCACAGACACTCAGTCCAGCCACCTTGCCCTTGGTCTTTCTTTTATTCTTTTCCTATGCTATTTCTCTGACATCAATAGTTGGAGAATCCTGGAATCACCCATTTAAGTGAAATAGCCAACCCATTGTAACCTTCCCATCTTAATAAATATAATCATGTCCGCCTCATTATACATTTCATGAAGCTCCTGTTTTTTTTTTCTGGGTCAGACATTCCTGTCATCAACAGGCTCAAAAATTTGTTGATGCTCATACATCAGAACGGTTTCCTTCATCTGCCTTGGTGGTAGTCTAAGCCTCTGAGCCATATGTCAATACTGGGCTTATCTGCACCTTATAAAGATGGGTTTTTGTTTTAGTGTCTATGGACCGATTTCTTAGGAATTTCAAGAAGCATTGGTTAGCAGTAATAATTCTTCCAATTTCCAGGCTGTCATTGCTCAGACTAAGTTCTGTGCCTTGATAGATGAAGGATTCCACGTGCTGGAAGTTATAGGATTTTATTTCTAGGAATGGTTTCTGGATTCCTCCTCCACCAGCATGAATATATTTTGTTTTGGTGTATGCTAATAATTTATGATTTAATGCAAAACAAATTATGTTAGTTTAGCTGCTTACTTTTAAGTCTTTACCCTTTAAAGTGGTTTTAACACAGGAAAACTCTATTTTTATTTTATGGAAGTTCAGTCCACTTTATGATGCTGCTATTGATAATTGCTTAATAGTTCTTTAGTTATATTTTTCTATGCAAAAAAAAAAAAAAAAAAACATGACACTTAAAAAAACACAAAATTTGAATTTACTACTTTTCCATATGAAACATTTTTGCTACAAATTTGTTGTACGAAAAACTCTTAACCTAGGGCTCACAGCATTTGATACTCACTATATTTACAAAATCAAGAAAATTCAAATTAATTTATATGGAATTAGTTTATGATTTAATTAATTTTAATGTGATGTTACAGAAAAAAATATTAACTTTTTAAAAATTTTCAAGGTATTGCTTGTTACAGATTGATATAATTAGCAGCTACTATTTGATAAAGTATATTAGTTAGTTTATAATTTGTTTGTATTTCATTTCAATTAATTTCCATTCATTGTATTTCAGATAGGAATTATTGGTGGTTCTGGTTTAAATAAACCAGGGATATTGGAGGGAGGTACTGAAAAAGTTGTCCAGACTCCATTTGGACCACCTTCTGATGTTCTAATAGAAGGACAGATATCGGGCGTGGACTGTGTACTTTTGGCTAGGTGATTTAAATTTATTTTTTATTTGTAAATGACTTTTTACTAAACAAATTATTGTTATCAGTTTGATTTTAGACATGGGCGAGAACATACTATTAACCCCAGTAGTATTAATTATCGTGCTAATATATGGGCTTTAAAAGATGTTGGATGCACCCATGTCATTGTTTCATCTGCAACTGGGTCTCTTCAAGAAGATATCAAACCTGGAGATTTAGTTATAGTTGATTCATTTATTGACAGGTATTTATTATTAATAAGCATTTTCTTACCTCATTAACTTAATTAATAAATAACTAAGTATTTAAAAACTGACCTATTAAGCTCATTGTGAATAGTTCATTTATTTATGATGATGCATGAACTGATGTATCGATGTACTGAGGTACACTGAGAGAAGGAAGCATTTATTATTAAAATTTTATAGAAGGGGCAAATTTCAAAACAAAATAAAGGAAGTATCAGAAAATAAAATAAAATGTTTGGTAATTAGTGAATGATTTTTGCTAAATGGTCCGGAAACCATTCATATATGTAATTTAAATAAAATATATCTTTTAGTTTCTAAAACAGATAATGATATGATTAATTTACAAAAATGAAATAAAATTTGGCTAACTTTTATGAATTAATAAATAAATAAAACAAAAACCTGTTAAATTGCAAGTTATTCAAATTCAAGATATTCAGCTATGTATTTCAGTATTAAGTTTTGTTATTATTATTAAATAATTCTTTACAATAGAGTCTTTTACATCCTCTGTATTCACATGTATTACATCCTCTGTATTTATATGCCTATTAAGTGCTTTTTCTAAGGAACCGTTTCAAATACCTTAAAAATTATAAAGTGATTTATAAAGAGGAATGATTTCTAAATGTTTTATTTCAGTACTTTTCAAGGTTTAGTGTAAATGACTTGAAAACCTGACTTTACTGTTGTTTTTTGTTGCCTAAGCCATTTAGGTTTTAATATTTTTTTCATGCTTTGTGATTTTCTGACTATCCAGTTTTAATAAAAGACCAATTAAACTCAATGCTGAATGTCAGTGACCAAAAAACAAGAGTCTACCAGGTTGCGGGGCTACATGTGTTTTGCACACGTGAAAAATCCAAATAACCCAATAGCAAAATCCTGCTCGGTCATCCTGCTCCCTAAATCTGGCAGTTGAATGTGATTTTGAAACCATCATATCTTACAATCGTTAGCTTAGAAATAGTACTTCCTTACAAAGTTCTGAGTCCAAGACCCTTAGATTGTTGAGGAATAGGCTAGCTGTCTGGCTGGCTAGATAACACTTATCTATGTTGCTTGTTTTTTTTTATAACATCTAAGCTTTATTACATATTCAAATCTATAACCTAAACTTTTTATAGCTTTATAAATATCCTAGTTTAATTATGAATGTATAGTAAGTATGTTTATTTGGTCTAATGGTTATTATAAATCAAATTATTTATTTTACTTGTGATTTATTGTTTATTCAACTCCAGATTTTTATTTTCTGATGGAATTTTTTAGAACTTTCAAAAGAGAAAATACATTTTATGATGGATCCCCAAATTCTCCATTCAAAGATGTGGTACATATGCCAATGGAACCAGCTTTTTGTTCTAAAACCAGATCATTACTTTTAGAAACTGCTCGTGATTTGGGTTTACCCGTGCATGAAGGAGGATCAGTTGTCACTATTGAAGGTCCACGCTTCTCATCAAAAGCAGAATCTAATGTATTCCGTTTGCAAGGAGCATCTCTTGTCAATATGACTCTCGTTCCTGAGGTTTGAAATAGAAATATTTATTTCTTTGTATAAATAATTTGTTTTCATATATCTTAATATACAATAGGATGTACAAAAAAAGGTGACTGTAAATAATTTGTTTTCATATATCTTAATATGTAATAGGCTGTATTTTAAGGCATTACTGGAAAAAAATTGCGCAGCCACTGAAGCAACTCGTGAAATTATTAAATATGAAGGTGAATGTGTCCTTGACCAGCTCACTGTGCAGCATTAGTTTGAATAATTTAACAGTGGAGATATGACTGGAAAGGAAGAAGGGCTCCGTTCGACCGTTAATGGATCTTGATGAGGTTCTGTAGGAAGCTGTTGAGTCAAATCCGTCCGCAAGTACTCACGAAGTTGTCAGGTAGTGTGTTGTGTCAAAAGATACTGTTAGTCGCCATCTACTCTCTATGGGAAAGTTGAAAAAGTGCAGTAGACTGGTTTTCTCATGATCTTACTCTTCAGCAATAAGCTAAGAGGTTAGAAATTTGTGAACATTTATTGAAAAACCCTTCTGATTTGAGATTCTACCGGAAGATTGTCTCCTGTAATGAAAAGCTGGTTTACTGGCGAAATCCAAATAACCGTGAGCAATGGCTAGATCATGGTCAAACTGCTTTTCTGGTTGCTGCAAGGGGCAATTTGAAAAAAATCCATGCTTTGCATTGTTTGGAATTTTTAAGGTGTTATTCATCACAAATTTGTTTTTGATGGATGCCCTATGAATTCTGAACTCTACTGTGAACCATTGGAATGATTGCACCTGGAGTTGTCAGAGCATTATCCTACTGTGATCAACCAAAAAGGAATTTTATTCCAACAATAGAATGCTCTTCCTCACACTTGAGACAAAGAAACAATTATTATGCATTGTTTCATGTGTTGGATGTCTTGGAAAAGCAGACAAGGTCTCCATTTATTTTGTGTGAGCTCTAAAGAATACTTCCTCCAACTGATTTATTTTTGTTTATATTAACATGGCATGGGGTACAGATACATTTTCACTATATATTTAAGATTTTCATGTGATGCCTTGTTTGTGAGATGTATCTTGTCCTGAATAAAAAAATATATCAAGAAAAAAAATTAATATTAAGAACTGACAGTTCTTAATATAAATATTAAGGCATACATTTTTGAGTGAGTTCTTAATATTTATACTTAAAAACATAAAGTATTTTTAATTACAATAATATAAAAATTTCACTTGAAAGAGACATGGGTGGAGATGTCCGTTGTTCCAGCAAAGGCTTCCAATATTTGTATATCTGATGACATTTATGTTACTAAATAGTCTTACTATTTGAATTTTTGTTCTCTGTCGACAAGCATTATCGCTGAAAACTGGTCCAAAAATTCTTCTAACAATCTACCTTTTGAATCTTAGGAGCATTAGCAAACTGAAACTAATTAAAAATTATTGGAGGAGCACAATTGTTGAATAAAGATTAACAAAGCCTAGCATAATCTCCATCGAGCAGAAACAAGCTACTTCTATAAACTATGATGAAATCATAATGTTGTTGCTAAAAAAAAAGCTGAAAAAGTGAAATTTTAATGTTATAATTTGTACATCTGTATCATTTTAATTCCCTTCCTCACTACCAAAGTTAAGAAAGCTTTCTTACTCATTTAGGAGGTTAAAAAAAATTATGTGCTCAGGATAGGAAATTTCCACTCACATTTTTAGAAGTAGAATTTTAAAAATTCCGAATTTAAGCCCTTTCAGGCTTTGTCAGTGAGGATTTTATACCTCCATGATATTAAAGAGCACTTGATTGTACAGTGATTTAACAAATGTAGTCTAAATGGTTTAAGCAACTTATAAGAATATTATAAAAATGTGTAAAATCAATGATCGAGTGATATATCCTTTAAGTCCCATTTCAGAAAAAAAGTTGGTTTATTCTATGCCAGGTGTATATCTACCTTAAATATGTAACTAGTCCTGTCATAAATATTGCTACAAGGAAATATATACAGATTTCAACAGGAAAATTAATTTTTTCAAAAACTTTATTAGAGAATAAAACAAAAAAGATATTTCTCAAAATGTCTCCCTTTTGCCTTGATACAGGAATTTAATCTCTGTGGCCAGTCGTCAATAGCAGCACGCAGCATTTCTTGAAGAAAACGTTCAACACCTCGGACCAAAGATTGTTTGAGGCTTTTCAAGTTAGGGTGTGCTCTGTGGCATGCCATCCTCTCGCTTGTTTAGTTCGTCCCAAAGCCGATAATCTAATGGGTTGAGATCAGGGCTTCCTGAGGACTAGTCCGAGGCAGAGATGAACTCTGGAATGTTCTTTTGCACCCACTGCTAGTTTACCTGGCCTTGTGAGCTGGAGCGGAATCCTGCTGGAAAACCCAATGACTTCCAGCAAACTGAGTATCGTTTAGTGGCTTGACAACAGGTTCCAAAATATTGTCCTGATAGGTTAGCGGCTATTTTAACTCCTTTTTCATAAAAATAGAGCTTTTTGGTGCCATCAAAGTAAATTCCCTACCAAACCATCATTGACGAAGGGTTATGACCTCTTTCCACTCTTCCAATGTCTTCCTGGGCTACTTTAGAGCTGTGTACGTAGACACGATCATTTTGGTGATTATATTTTTCTTTTATTGTAAAAATGTTCTCATCGCTAAACAAACTCTTTCAATGAAGACCATTGGTATAACGGCCAAGGAGCTCTTTGCATCTATCCACTCTTATATTTTTAGTGAAGTGGTTAGCTTTTGTCCTGTCATTCTTCGAAATGCACCCATCCTTAGGTCACTTTTTATTATGCAAGACATGGATCTGACAGAGATTCCCATTTCATGAGACATGATGTGTTGTTTTCGAATGGGATTTCTTCTGAATTGAGCAATCACTACTCTCACTGCATTTGCTGTTCTCACAGTGCGGGAACGGCCTTGAGTCTGTCACATACAGATAGGGTCTCATTATATCTATTTATAATGCGGTAACCTACAGCTATCACTAACATTATAACTAACCTATGGCTGATACCCGAAGGTTTCAAAGTGTTGAAAATCTCCGACCTACATTTTCCAACTTTGTGTATGGCGATCACAGCTATTCGGTTTTCTTTATCACCTCGCTCTATGTTAACTGAGCAAAAGAAAAATACAAACTAATTGGTATTATTATTCTGACATGTAAAGGGAATAACCAGATAGAAGTAAGGATTATTTAAATAATACCAAACGATTTAAACAAAGTTCAACTTTTGTAACAGTATTTATGGCAGAACTAGGTACTTTCACTTCATAGAACTTTTATTTTTTTGGCTGGACTGCTCACAGACCATTTTGTGGGTGGTTATTTCGACTCAGGAAATCTTAAAACATATGTTTCCTTTGAAAACTTGGATTCCAAAATTTTCACAATCACAATCATTTCTCTTACTAATGTATATTTCATATACGTAATGAATTTTTCATAATTCGCAAATGAAATTAAAAAAAAGGATAAGGGAACATTTGTTAAAGGAAATGTTTGATCTGAAATCACTTTTTCAAAGGTATCATCGTCAATCAAGGTTGCCATTACTCCCTGCCCCATCACAGATCTAACTGCTAATTTAAACCTATTAACTTTTAAACTCAGTTTCAGTTAACATGCCATTATCTCTCTTCTATTTCATACCTGAATTTGGTTAAAAACTCTAGCTCACAGTGAGCATGCTCTTGGTAAATCAGTGCTTTGAGTGGTTTGAAAAATTCAGAAGTGGCAATTTTGATGTGCGAAATAAAGAACATGGAAGGCCTCCAAAAAAGTTTGAAGATAGCTAATTGCAAGCATTGTTTCATAAGGATGATGCTCAAACCCAACAATAACTTGTGGATCAATTGAATGTTATACAACAAGCTGTTTCCCTATACTTGGAAACCATGGGAAAGATCCAGTAAACTATCAACATCTATTTTAAGGCCAGATTGCTATGGAAAGAAGACAATGCTCTGTGTTTGGTGTTATCAGAAGAGTGTCGTTAAAAATTTATTGTATTGAAATTTATTGTATTTTTTACCAATTCTTTATATTTAGCATATATATTATAAATGCTGATGTATACGATAGGTACAGCAGTAAATAAATTTATTGTCACTCCCTAAGGAGAAGAGAAATTTCCATTATCGGAATATATAATTTTATATTATATGCTCTATGTTTTTATATGAATTTATCTATTATGAGCTGGTAAAACCTGACGAAAGCATTAATATTTAGTGCTATTGACAATAAATGTTCAATTTGAATTGAGTATTGCATGAAAAAATGACCAAAATATGAACAGATACAACACAGTGATTTTTATTTATGATAATGCACAAGAAAACCATTAAAGGAAACTATTATCAGTTGGAAAATATTAGTGCATGTGGCTTACTCACCAAACATGGCTCTTTTGTCCGACTACTATATTTTTGCATTCACTTCTATTTAAAAGTACAAAAATAGCTTGATGACTGATTTGTTGCAAAAGAGCAGGTTTTTTTTTTTTTTTTTTTTTTTTTTGTATGGCATTCATAAATTGCCAGAGAGATGGGAAAATGTATAGTTAGCAATAGATAATATTTCAATTAAAATATTTGTTGACATTTTTTAGTTGAAAATTCCTGTTTCATATTTACACACCTGGTAGATATTAGCAACCTCCTCCTCCTCTATCTTCCTCCCAAATGTATCTTCTGTTCTATTAGCAATACTCTACCTTCTTGTATATTTAAATTTCAGTAATCATAATAAACAGGTTATCTTTATTAACACTTTTAATTTTAGTAAGATTTATTAAGAGTTTGAATGGGATAGTTCAGTGCCCCTATTCTCTATCGCTCAGATTTGAGTCCAGCTATGGTATATAATTATTTATTCTGTTTCATTGACCCATTATTACAGCCAGCGTCAGACAAACCTGGTAGGTGAGTGTGATTCTGGCCCAGTTACCTTTCTGCTCAACCTTGTTTCTCTGATATATAAAGAACAAGTTGTGTATAGTTTAGTCTGTTATACGTTATATGATTTCTATTTTCCAGGTATGCCTTGCTCGTGAAGCTGGACTTCTTTATGCTGCAGTAGCAATGGCTACTGATTATGATTGTTGGCGTTGTGGTGTTGTTAATGTTGTTGAAGTTTTGAAGAATTTAAGAGCTAATGCAAAAAAAGTTGAAAAGCTATTTCTTGCTGTAATACCTAAAATTGCAGAGCAAAATTGGGATAATGAACTAAAATGCATGAAGGTAAAAAAAGCAAATCTTATGAATATGGTCTATGTTTTTATTTAAATAAATTATTTCATATTTACATAAATATTTTGTGTTACTTAGTACAAATTTCATTTTATATAAATCTTAAAATAATTATATTTTATTGATGTCATTATTTTATGTTGTTCCAGGATATGTTGAAGTATAGCAACCAGACACAGATTTCTAAACTTTCTGATGCAGAACTAGAAGTTCTTTGATAATGTTTTTTTCTTTTTAAATACAAAATTTTAATAAATTAGTTATTTCTATTTTATTTCTTTTAATTGTTGTCTTATTGGAGAAATAATTTGTTTGTGTGTGTATTTCGTGTCAATTAGAAATTAGTGTGAAGTTGAAAGAAGAGTGTGCGTGAATTCATAAATTAATAAATTTATTTAATATAATTTTTTTTAAACCAAAGGTTTGATAATATTCTGACTATGGCAAAGCTAAAAAAAGTGGATTGTGTGTTTGACCACCACTGTGTTCGACCACGGCTTGACCACCTGTACGCATGTAACAATTTTTTCAGCGAATCGCTGGACGCCTTTTTAACCGGTTTGGCACATACCAGAAAATTTTAAATATTGATTTACTTCTATATAAGTACTTCCAGATACATAATCTTCATGCATAACCTAACCAGTGCTGATCATCAGCAGTCTTTATAAGAACTGAAAGTTATCTGAAATCCTTCCGGAGTTTTCCTATTCAAGTGTGTTATTTATGTAACTTTTTTTGGAAATCTTTTATCTCCTCAGTCATGTACCCATAAAAGATTTATAGGAAATGTTTATTAAAACAGTATTATACTCCTTCTGATAATGTCACGTATGTTGGAAAATTTATTGTAGGTAAAAGGAAATGTCCTGAAAATGCATAATTTACCTTGCTTCTAAGCCTGTTAAATAAAGAATTAAAAATTTTATTTATTTTTATTTCAGTTTTATTATTTATTTTTATTTTATTTATTTTAATGTTACACAATGTTTTATGTAGAGGAATTAACTGAAAGTATTCATGTGACAAATAGTTAATATGGAAATGTGACTGTTGACAAATGGTCCTCTAAAGTATTGTTGTAAAGTATAATGTTAGATTATAAACTAGCTATATTTAAGATTATACCATAAGGATTGATTTTGAATTTTGTCTGCTGGTGCTGCGCTCCTCCCATCTTTGGCAAACAACGTTTTTCAGCTTCTGGTTGGTATGCATATTAATGTTGAGTTGAAACAAATCATCCTATAATTATGTAATTTTTACACGTATGGGTCTCCCATTTCAATGGCTGCCATTTTGAAACTCCCCTGTTTTGAGCTGGTAGGGTAATGGAAATTGAATGATTAGAGCAGATGTCATAACAGCGTATGACTATAAGTTTTCTACAAGTAAGATTAAAAATTTTGATCCGGCTTTTGGGCTAATAGTTTTCATTATCTAGTATAATCCTTATTTATAAATAAATGTGTAATGTGGATTGGTTCCATTCAGCTAAATGCTGTATAACCTGCTCTATTTGAGCAGACTGTCAACTGTTGAATTATTTCAGTTGGGTGGTGAGTAAAAGATGGGTGATACATGGTGAGGCATAGATTTTTAATTTACACATTCAACTGTAGATTAGTTGATGCTAGTTGGCCCATGGGAATAATTTGAATAGTATATTGATCAGTGAATAAATGGTAATGTAATATGGAAATTCCAAATAATAAACTAAATAATTTACAATAATTAACCAAAACATGTTTCAATTACAATTAGCTGTATCTAATACATACTGATACACTGGACATAATCAACCATAATTATTTGAATTATGTGCAAATAATGTTTCCATTTCTTCTATACATATCCTGACTTATCTGGGGAATTTTTCCTCCTAATAATGTTATAATACTTGCCTTTCTTTAATATTTGAAAATAAATAATTTATCAAACTCTTTTTCAACCTTTTTGTAGAACAAAAATCAATTGAATTTATTGTACCGTTATTGTTATCTAAAAATTAAATTTTTACAGTTCAATCTTAAATTTTTTTTTCCTAATCATACACTTTATTTTCCAAACTGAATCCCAATTAACCTTTAATTTTCCAAACCGATCTTGAAATTTTATTTAACCTCTTTTGGAGCTCTCAGGAAGGATGGATTTTGATAAATGAGATTTGAACAAAAAGGAATTTCCCTGAGAAATGACGCATACTTATTTTGATACTTAAAATCATACTTCAACTACAATAAAATTCATTGAAAAAAGTGGGATGTTTAAAAACTTAAAAGTGCTAAGTTGACTCAAAGAGACAGAAAAAATTGTTTTAAAAATTTCTATATGGATATCAAGAGCTTATAGTTCTTTTTGAACTGTACCGGTCTCTGAGTTTTTAACATAAAGTATAAAATAAACCAGATTAAGCATGATCACAGGGGCTAAGCCCTGTGATCATTCTTAATCTGGTTTATTATATAAACATAAAATTTTATGTCGGGCTAAAGCCCTCCCCCCAAAAATGGAAAAATATAACCATATGTAAAAAATTATCTTCAAAAGTATCATTGTTCCAAAGTAATCATCATTGCAAATACACTGACAGGCAAAAAATTACACCCACTTGATTTTTTCATGTTTTCATCTAAAAATATTTCATCCACTTGTAAAAAAAGTTGAATTTGTGTATAATACATGGTATATGTAGATAATACTTAGTATTTATGGAGTTTTATAATCTTTTTTACCTTTAATAATCAAAATGTGATTGGGTAAGAAAGATTAGAGAAAAAAAAAATTGAAAAACGAACCATTATGATTCTAAAAGAAATTAATTACATCATGGTTCAGTAGCGCTTGTTTCCTCCTCTTGCCTACACTACTTCTTGAAGACACCTCGGCATACTTTCCACCAGTCGGGAAATGTCCCTTTGCTGGAGGATAGCCCATTCCTCCCGAAGAGCCCTTTCAAGGTCCTGCAGTGCATCAGGTAGTGTCGCACGCGCTCTTATTCCATTCTCTTCCGAGGTTATCCCATAAATGCTCAATGGGGTTCAAATCTGGAGAACGTGCTGGCCAGGCTAAAACCTTAATATTGTTCTGTTGAAGGAACGTCTGCACTATGCGGGCGACATGTGGGCGTGCATTATCGTGTATTAGAATAGAACGATCGTCGATTTCGTTGAGGATAGGCAACACATGAGGTTCCAAAATCTCATTTACATAGCGAATGGCCGTCAAAGATCCTCCACGAACAATAACCAATTCTGTGCGGGGCTCCATTGAAATCCCAGCCCACACCATTAAGGAACCACGTTGGAAAGGTTGGCTCTGGGAAAAATTACAGGCTGCATATCTTTCGTTTCTTCTTCTCCACACCCTTTCACGCCCGTCTGGAGATCGAAGAGCGAATCTTGAATCATCTGTAAAAAGTACAGGACTCCGTTCGTCCATAGTCCAATGGCTGTGTTATCGAGCAAAAGCCAGCCGTGTTACTCTGTGAGTTCTGATCAACTCTGGTCCTCTTACTGGACGAAAAGCCATAAATCCATACTCATTTAATCTTCTCCGAGCGGTACGTTCAGAAATTTGCATAACTCGAACTTCTTCGAGCTGATGAATCGCTTGAACAACGGTAAGGTGCCGGTTTCATAAAATTCTCAAAGTCAAAAACTGGTCATCCCGTTGTTCTGTTACCCTAGTCCGTCCAGAACCGGGCCTTCTATTGTAAGAACCAGTTTCCCGAAAACGCCTGACGGCGTCTCGTAAAGTTTCATATGGAACTCCGATGGCATTAGCTGAATATCTAATGGAACGTCCATCATCAATAAGTGCCACACCACGCGCAACATCCTCAGTACTAAGAGGCATTTTTAAACTTAATATTGAAAAAATTGAAAGCCGGAGACTAAGAAATGTGCTGCAAGAAACGGCACTGAACTAATGATACTGAATAAACATTTTGATTCCATAGAAAGTAAACATTGGAATCTAGAATTATTTCATTGAATTAAGGATTAAGGGTTATTGTCCTCTATATTAACATTCCTAATTGAAAACAAACAAAAAGATTACCTATTTATTCATTAAAAACAATAGACCAATCTCGGGAGGGTGTATCTATTTCTCCCACCGGAAGGAGAACATCTTTAAAATGAGAGCTCAATCATTGGATATGATGAATTGACGGAGATAAGACACACCGACAAAAAAATCTTTGAAAAATAATTTATAAAGTTTTATGAATATTTTGTTATGAATTATAATTGAGTCGTTATTCGTCAATGTGATAATTTTCACCCAAGTCTGATTTTAATTAAGCATCTTTTAACTTTACATTATCGTTAGTTATATGCTCTACATGCATTTCATGATTTCGCACTCTAATATTTTAAAGAAATGGTATAAAAGATAATGTCGTTATCAATACAGGTGAATCACTTTATAGAAATATTTTTCGATAAGATAGTCCAGTGCAATGGGAAGCCTTCGCTCTGTGGCCACGATGGCCGCAGTAAGCTTTTTAGTGAGTTTTTTCATTATATAATACTAAATGACAGTTGTTTTTAAATTTATAATCTTTTTTATATGCTATATTCTTTGGTCTTTAGATATAACAAAATGTGCCTTTAGATTCTCAAAGATGTCTGTCAAATATTTTTATTTCATTGTAATTTAATTTCTACATTATTGATTATTATTAATAAATATAGCTTTCAATATGGTTCTTAGTGAACAGTCCAAATTTTAATAGATGGCTTAATTTTTTATTGAATTTTCAACACGTCAATTTTAAAAGATCAGTGATAAAGGATATTACTTTTAGTATCTTTATGAGTTATCTATTTATAAGAGCTCCAACAAGTTTTAACATTTTTTTTAATGATGTATAGTATTTTAGTATTTACGAAATCTTTTTGTAATAACATATGTAAAATGATTATTAGTTATTATTTATGTATTATTAGTTATACTATATTTTACCTCTACATACCTATTTATTTTTTCAACATTCATCGACACAATAAGAAAAAAATAACCATACATTTTTTTCTGTAAAATAATTATTAAAAAAAAATAAATAAACTTTTCAATAGCTTTATTAGGAGTGCCTGATCTCCATAGCGCTTCTTCAAATTGAGAAGGTTTTATGAGAAAAGAAAGATTTATTTCACAAGGTTGCTTAATGTCAAAATGTAACGTTTATATTACACTAATATGACTTCAAATTTATGGATTTAATTCCTAATGGATTTATCTGTATGAGATATTAAACAAAAATGAATTTCATAGAAATGTGATGAATCACAATTTCGATCTTCAAATACCTTCAACAACTTTACTTAATAAAAGTCATTGAAAAACTGAGAGGTTTCAACGCCCAGGTAGTTTCAAACGTTGATGGATCAAGATGGGATAAATTTTGTTTTAAAGATTTCGACACGCTCATCAAAACCCAATATAGTTCCAAAGGTACTTATTGGTCTCTGCGTTACAAAGCCCAAAGATGTGCCGTTTTCAAGATAAATTGTTGTTCTGCCCGAATGCTTGTGGTAATTTGTTTTCATGGGATTCGTATAACGTGTTTAGGTTTTAAAATTTACAATGTTTCTTTTTACTTTCACTTACCTATATATGTAATATATAACAAGGGAAAGTATTGCGATCGTAAACATTTTTGAATCTGAGTTTTCAACGGAAATACATTTTTGAGGTCCCCTGAGTCTAAATAATCAAATCCCGCAAAATGGTCTGTGTGTATGTGAACAGTGTAGCTCAAAAACGAAAAGTCTTACGAAACTGATATTATGTATTTAAGATAGGTATATGCCTCAGATGTGACAGCAATTTTTTCCTTAAAATCGGCTAACCGGAAGTGCCACACATTGTTACAATTTTCTCAATAACGGCTCGAAACGATTTTGATTAAACTCGGTATATCATTGTATAATTAAGTGGTCTTAATTATCATTTAGGTCTTATTGATGTCACTCTACACATCTTAAATGCTCAATTTTCATATAAGTCTTTCCCTAAACTACCTTTAATATGGTTTATTTAAAAAAAATGATTCTCTTTTATTAACATTAACTATAAAAAATGGCTAAATATGAAGTTTGAAAGAATATGATAATTGGACACTGGAGAAAAAAAGAAAAATGCTTATCTATGAAAATGTATCTCCGGAAATAACGGTCAGAAGGTATACGTATAATATATCGTTGGAAAGCTGAAAATTTAACAAAATAATATCAAATAAATAAAGTAGTAGAAGGTAACGGAGATTGAAGAAAAAAATAAAAATAATAATTTCAGAAAACTAACATTATTTAACGTAAATCACATGTTTCTAAGGAAATTAACTGAAATTTTCTCACTAAATGTAAACATTTAATTTTTTTCTGTTTGAAAAAAAGTTTTTAAAATCCAGTAAACGAACCCAATGTAATTTTTAAAAATACTATTTCAATTTACGAGTGTGAAATATAAAAATATTTCATGGATATGTTTATAACCTTAAATACATTTACTGTACTTTAATAATTCTAGATATGATATCATAGTTTATTACTAAAAATCATCAAGTAACCTATTAGAAAATTAAATTAGTGTTAATTTTATGAATTTTCCCTTTGTGAAATTCGAAATTATCCATTGCAATTTTAGTTTAACAACTTTGGAAAATAACAGTTTAATAATTTATAGTCCTACAATCGATAATCATTTATAAGTTAAATATTCAAATCACTCTAGGTATATATGAGTCTTTCGGTTAACAGAATTACTAACTCCAATTACAAGTTTCCTTATTAATTTATTTTAGTGATGTTTCTAGTGGTGAAATTTATAATTTTTTCACAGTTCTGTATTTCAACACTATAATAACCTACTCTGGAATCAACTTACTCACTGTCTGTATAGATATGACTTTTCCAACTAGAAATATCACTAAAATGACTTTACTCAAAAATGCTGAAATTGGAGTTAGTCATTCTGTCAACTGAAAGGCTCAGATACTGAAGTTTTGTGTTTCATAAAAGCAGACGGAGTAAACTAGATTTTTATTGCCTACCTTCGATGTAATAAATATTCTTTTTGTTATCTGTAAGCTTTAATCCTTTAGCTCAGTTTAATATGCACTTCAAATAATATAGAAATAATTTGTTTGGCACATTTAGTGAATAAAATTAAAAAAGGGGATGTGCTTTAGACCACACGATAGAAGTGAAAACATCGACAAGGCTAGATTAATAATAAGAAGATGAAATGCTGTACATTTCCCTATATTACGCAGGTCCGATTTTTAGTTTCTGAGATATTTTTATCCATATCTTCAATAAAACACGCTATCATTTGGTTTTTCGACACTATATATTCCTTTTCGCCTCTCTAACAGAGGGCCGCGTTAGGATACAATTTTGAATAATAGCACTCTATAGAGAAGATGAAATGCTGAACAATTCTCTCGCTTACATTATGCAGGTCCGATTTTTAGTTTCTGAGATATTTTAATCCATATAAAATTCGTTATCATTTGGCTTCCGACATTATTTTTCCTTCTCCTACTCCCTAACACGGTGTCGCGTTAAGATACAATTTTGAATAATAGCTCATTACAAAGAAGATGACATGCTGAATATTTCTCTTGCTTACAGTATACAGGTCCGATTTTTAACGTCTGAAATATTTTAATCCATATGTTCAACTACACTACACATTACTTTTATATGAAGTAATATTTCAATTTCATTTCATTCAATATCTCTTTAATTCAGTTGCCTTTTTTGTATGCTAAAATAATTTATTCTATTACACTCATTAATTTTTTTTTTTTTGTGAAGGGTACCCCCTCCAGTTTGGCGTCCCGGGGCAATTGCTCTGCTAGTGTTGAACAAACTATTTTGATAATGATGCACTCTATATATGAAAAAGATGTTTCGTTAAAATCGATGATAAGTAGAATGCATTAAGGAGTAGGATAGATATCAAGTGTGAGAGTTCTCACTGCGGTATACTAGTATGTTTTATTATAGGTATAACAGTCAAAAAAATAAAGTAACAAAAGATCTGCCCGAAAATTAATGATCAAGTGAAATTTTAGCTATTACGAGCCAAACAAAATTGAAGGTACTTTAGAGGAAGCAAATTTGATAATCCAGCATTTAACTCTTGTTGGAATATTTTAAAGAGGGTAATAGGTGCCTCATATTAAAGAATACTTCCGTAGAAAATAGTAAACATGTATAAGATTGATGAAATAAAATTTCATTTCCGGTGGAAAAAGTTTTTGTGGTTTTCCTAAGGGACTTGTCGCGAGAAGAGATGGAGGATAGGTAAGAGTTAAAGGATTGTGATCTGAAGTGGCTAATTCCAGTTTTAATTTTTGTATTAAGTAATAATTATAAGAGCAGCGGTCGGTAGGTTGTCGAGTACGTTGCCATAATAATCTGGTACGGTATTTGATGTGGATTAGGTCAAGGAGGTGTTGGGGTAGAATGGTCTTTTTAGGAATTCTTTGAGAGTATTTTAGAAAAGAGGCAGCGCAGGCAGATTGTTGGATTGTGGTAGTAAAGGAATTGACGGCACTATCAAGGTCATCGGGAGTTTTTAGAGATATATTGAGATCAATTTTATCGGAGAGAATTTGGAGGAAAAGGTCCCAGTCAACTGGGTCCCAGATAAATGACGGTGGAGAAGGTTTGGGAACGGGTTCAAGTGAAACATTAGAGGACTGTAGTCAGAAGAAAGTTTATTTAGATGTGTAATGGAACAATTGAGGGAACCTAAGCCGCTGTGGATAAAGAAATCAAGGATACAATAACATTTTCAGAGTACATTCTTGTTATTTCGTATATTTTTTCGATGCCTTGAGTTGGCTCCAAATCTACGAAAAATAAGCGTAGAGGAACTTTTATTCCTGGCTATTCTTTACTCTCTTTCAGAACATTTGTAAGAGAGTAAAGAATAAGGAGGATATGGGAAAATAGGAATAGGAATAAGAAGGATCTGGCGCTCTATGAAACCTAAATTTTTCAGTTCTTCTTCTGTTGCTTCGACTGGTGTTGAGGGGTGTAGATTTCTTATAACTACTCTTAATGCTCGCTCTTGCCGTAATTGATACGTTTGAAAATCCGCTTGGGTTTCTGTTAGGTATTTCAGGATTTTTCCGTAAGTTTCAGCTGTATCTGGTGACATTTTAGTGTCCTTTGTTCTGCTTGGACAAGAATAGCTTCCAGAGCCTGTTATTTTGTTCAGTTGAGAGCATAGTAAAAACCATAGTGAAATTTTTTTTATGTTTTTAACGAATATCGGTGGAAGTCGGGGATCTCTTGGTATCGGAGAGGACTCCAATTCACTTCTTTATCATTCTGAAGCACCTGATAGGGGTTGGGAGTGAAAAATGGAGATCGTTCGGTTGTCTCTTGTGAAGATGTACCTGGTTGATGCTGAAGTTCTTCAATTGTTTGTTTTGATGATGTACCTGGCTGGGTTACATTTTCTCCGGAGCTAACAGGGATTACTGCAGGTGTTTGAAGAGATTAACGATGCTTTCGTTTGACAGGTGAAGAACAAGATGTCGAGCCTAACGGCCGAATTCTCTTGATAGAAGCTCTACTAGACATGGCCTGACGGTGATATCGCATACAAGAAACAAAAGGATAAAAAAACCTATAATTTCTAACAGCAAACCGTAAATATTAATTATTGTTATGGACCCTTGACCGGAATGAATAATCTCACAGAAAAAGCTGAAAAACAAGCAAATTCTGAGAGACGAGGTAGAAACACAACCTTTCGCATCAGCTGATCCACTGCCTTTCCATCCGTTATATTAAAAAAATAAAATAAAAATAAAAGCTTTCGGGCTGAAGCCCCCCCCCCCTCCAAATGGTAAAATATAACCAAGTTTTATGAAAAAATATATTAAAAAAGTATATCTTAAAGTATTATTTTTCGTGTAATTACATTTTAAAGGACTTAAGAAATCACTTAAACACCATTTCATATAGATATTTAGTATCTTTTTTTTTTTCCAAAGTAATTATCGTCATTTTTATACAAAAAACAAGTTTCGGGCTGAAGTCCCCCCCAAAATTAAATTCTGGATCCGCTAATGGGCTGAACCTCTCCCAAAATAATATTCTGGATCCACTAGTGTTTTATATTCACTACATACCTAATAATATAAAAGAGAAATATAGTTTACCCGACCTTTTGCAAGGTAACATGTCTAATTTGACTCGGCTGCTTTAGCCAGTTTGATTGTAACACAAGATTGTTGGTTCAGCTCTTTGTGACTTTCCATACTCTCCATTCCTAACTTTTCTTGCTATGATAATACTCTCTCAATAGTATCTCAATATTGCTTAAACTCAAACAAAACTTATTCCTAATATCTTTTCTTTTAAATATTTCCATAAAAATTGATTCTATACCGCAATAAGTGAAGTCTTTGTAAATTATGATGAATTAGGAGTGTTGCTGGTGGATGTTCTTAACTTTGATTCACATCTTCCACACAAATCAAGAAATATATTAACTTTTTTTATTAAATAGATTTTTTTCTGACTTTATTCATTCAAGATGTTGGTCGATCTATTTTTGTATGTTTACCCTAAAAACAATTTTTTTTTTAGAATATTTTATTTTGTTTAAGTAATGAGATATAAAAAGAAAATTTTGAAATATTCAATCAGATTTGCAGAAAAGATGTTAATAAAATTTTTTTTTTTTTTTCTATTTTTGATTGAAAGTCGGATTTAATTGTTGTTAAATTAGTAAGTTCTTTTGTTTTCAGATACAGGGAGCTCTTTGGGTCGTCCTTTCCATACTAGCCATTCTTACCTATTCATGCTACTTTGAACCAAAAGAAGAGATGTCCCAAAACCCATCTTTCACAGCCATGGCCAAATACTACTTTTCTGGTAGGTTATAAACTTATTTTCATTTATCATTAAACAAATTTAATGGAAAATTCTCCAGACATTTTTTAAAAAAGAAACACTAACAAGTAAAAAAAAAGAAAAAAAAAATCGAAAAGAAAACTTGTAATTATTTTACCACTCAGATGCCAGAATAATAGAAGAAAAGTCAGTGGGTCACCGATTTTAACAAGATTTTTTTTTGGCGATTCTAAATAGAAAAATATTAAACTCGTAACCCGGCGTTAGTCCCAATGTACCTTGAGAGCGAAAAAAGAAAGAAAAAACTTAATATTAAGAAATTGTTTTTCTGTTTTCTTTGCTTTATCCGAATTTCGAAGGTATAATAAACAAATCGACTTACTTATTTTTTGTTCGAAATAAGAAGTATTTATTTCCAATAGTACTAAATGAATTATAATGTATCACAAATGGATATAAAATAAATGTCAGATATATGAATGAATGGTAGGAACATCAGGAGCCAAATCCTACAAAAAAAAAAAAAAATATGCCAAGTAAGGTTAGTATAATTTCCTAATCATTGGCTAAACAATGACTTACATTTCAAGGTCTATAATTTTTCGATTGAGAATCAAATCACATTTGATATCCGTGAGTTTTGATCATCAGCAAATATAAAAATGCAGCAGAGTTCCACATTTACAAAATTGAGTATTTCACTTGCTGATTACAAACCAAAAATCACAAACTTAAACTAATCTGAATACAGTATGTAGAATAATGAAACAAAAACAAAAATAATGAAACAAAATCCATAGAAAAAAATTAAATTTTTATTGATTCGGTGTTAACCAAACCGACTTTTCCCATCAGTCGAAACAAAAATTATTTATGATGGCATAATCAAATATGAGTGAAGTTAAGGAATTGCATGAAAAGAAGGCCTATACATACTTAAACTTTAATAATGCCTATGTCTAACCGTTTAATAATAATGTATCACCGTAATAATAATGTACAACCGTTTAATAATAACTAGTCCAAAAAGCTGTGGAATATGACCCCTTAGGTACTACTTCGAATTTTAAGAAGGAAATCGAAGCCACGACGAGGTGGTTGATCTTCAAGAAAAAAAAACACGAATAAGAATTTATTCTACAATCTCTAAGTAAAAACTAAAATTATCTATATTTGAATTTACAAATATAGATAATTTAGTAAATTATGTATACAAATGTATTGTAATTCAAAGTAAAATATATACGTTAAAAATAAAATATCTGCGTTCTCGTTTTCGTTGGGCTTCAAAAATGTTATTAAAAATAAACTAAGAGGGAATTCACTATTTCGGGATTCGCGTGATTTTTATGAAAATAACTGTGACAAGTGCTTAGAGCTTACAGTACACACTGTTTACTCAAGGAAAAGCGCACATCTATGCATAACATGTGGACAGGATTCGTCATATCAAGTTTCAACCCTCCCTATTAATGAAAACTAGATGTAATAAAAATAATGATTGCAGGTGTCATACCAGTAACATTAAATCACCTAAAGAATAAAGGGTAAATTAAATTTTCAAATACAGTCTAAAATTTTATAACCTTAATATGATAAACAATAATATGTTTTATAAAAAATAATATGAACATAACCACCCTTCCACATTTTATAGCCTATATTATTTTAATTTTTCAATGAAATTCGGAATTCAATGAAATAGAAGCTAGGCAATGTACATTCCCTTCTCCCAATTTCCACCAAGTTTGGATCAAATCTAACAAGCCGTTTTCAAACTATAGGCGTATCAAAAACAAGATGCGAAAGCAGAAGTACTTTTTGAAAGGACTGGGTAGAATTTGATGAAATTGATATCTACTTGATCATTTGTTTATCAATACCAAAATTACCTCCAACATTGGACTCAATCGAATGTACAGTCTTCAAGGTATTGTCGAATCAAAGGAATAAGTTTTCACGTATTTAAGTGGAAGTAGTGGATGGAATTCAATAAAATTGGGGCAGTATAATTTTTTTACTAATCACACCTTTCTTACAATTTTGAGACAAATCATGCAGACCGTTTTTGAAATGTTGGTATATCTAAGAAAATGTGCGTGCGTAAGTGGAAGTACTGTGTGGAATTTACTAAGATTGATACGGGACCATCAAGATACCATTCCGTACAATCCCTGAATATTTTATGAAAATCGAATAAACGGTAGAAGGTGATATGCCCATCACATCGATTCGACTACAGACAGACGCCGAACCAGATTTGATCATTGATGTCTGAACCGTAAAACGTGAGTGGACATTTCGATTTTGAAAACAAACATTTTTTTAACGTCCCGCACGAATACAAATCTTTCTTGCCTTCGGTAGTGAGGAAGTAAAAGTAGCGACAATAGTGAACATCAGAAAATAAAACTGATCAATAAAGAAACAGTTTATCATTATCGTATCTATCTAAAAACTCATCTCGGCTACAAACATTAGTCACTCAACATCCAGTAGGAATCTTAGCTTCCTTCGACCTTTTTAATCAATACCATACAATCCCAAATTAATTGATGGCATGGATTCTACAAAATGAAATGATTATTAAAGATAATAAAAACAAAACTTGGAACACATGATCTTGAATGGATATCAACTTTCTACTCACCTTACAATTAAATTTAAACCACCATAAATGCAATGGTACAATAAAGATCTTAGACTACCATAAATTGAATCGTACAATCGTTTTCGTGCCTAAATACCCAGATCCTGGAACATTTCCATGGAAAATTATCTGGTTCTGATGCTCGTGTTAAAATATTTAAATTAATTTATCCTGTTTCAATCCGCTAACTCAGGATAGGTAACTATAGATGTATAGCAGACAGATGGATGATTTTTTCTCGACTCCTAAGGACCATTGGATGCGTTAAACTTTTGCAAATATGGCTGTTAGTTATTGATAGAGCTGGTATATTTCTTTTTTCGTCTCTATCTATCTAACTCTTATGCTAGTCCTATGATCCGTCTGAGGACTTCTCTTTCAAATCTATCAGTGTTTCTCATATCGACATAGTTAAACGTCCACGTCTCACTTCCATACCTTATTATGGCTCTTATATAATTTTTTTTTTCCTGTTCTCCCCTTCCTCACCTTTCAGACTATACGGGGTTTTACCAGGCCGGGGGAAGGGAGGGTGAGGGCGGAATTTAAAGTCCCGTCCTGGCACCGGGACGCGAACTCGTAACAATTTTCCACTAATAACTTTAGTTATCTGGGCAACGCACGCTACTGTGTGCACACGCAATAGCCCGCTTGAACACCAAACTAATGACAGTGTTTCTGCTCATCAGCATTCACTTACTTGCTGCCGTGGCTCTACTCCTTTTCCAGATCCGGAGGATCTCCCATTCCTGTATTAGGACCCAAGTAAGTAACAATTGCTCTCGAATCGTTTTATAAACAAATAGCTTTGCCTTCCGTGGGTGGTTCAGAAAACGCAAAGTTTTCTGCAATGCAAAATATGTTTGCTGCAATTCTTGCTATTATTTTCACTGTGATGTAATTTTTTTCTGTAACTAAAGCTCTGATATACTTAAAAATGATATGAATCATATATTGGTTTTCTCCTCTTATTTATGTTTAGACCTATTTTTTCCCGAGCATTTTCAAATTCCTACAAAACTTCTGTGAATGCGGCTTTGGATCTTGATGATATTACCACGTCATCAGAATATGCCGTGTTGGGTGACTCAATTATATATTGTCCCTTCTGGATTCGTCTTAATTGCTTTGACCGCTTGCTCCAAGGCAATATTGAATAATACAGGGGAGAGAGAATCTCCTTCATATAAACTATTCTCTACCTCGGATACTTCTGACAAAGTGTTTTGTTGCTTCGCCCATCTAGTCAGTGGACATCAGGGCGATAGTTAGCGATACATAGATAGCAAGAAGTAAATAGTTTTGACAGGATAACCGATCTCCTTCTTATGAATTGGGTAAAAAGCTGCAACATTCCAATCCCGTGGCATCCACATTTGCGTCCTGATATCAATTATTGTGAAAAGAACTACTAAGATTAATCAGAACAAAGAATGCTTTATTTCCTGTAATTACCCTTGCTCTTATCACTTCATCTTAATTTGCTTCTTCGTTGATAAGGGATCCGAAACAGTAACTGAAATTGTTTTCCACTTCTAAGGTGAGTCATTGATGACACATTCGCTGAAAGTGCCCGGGTTTCTTTCTGCTTAATGCAATAGTGTTTTATATTTGTGTCTGCATTTTTATTTTTTAAATCTTAATACAGCCTATACAATGATTTTATGCAATAATATGTTGGTATTCATTATGAAATATATTGCCAAAAATACACTTTACCTTTTTTACGGAAGGGGGATGTTTTGCAAAATTAAGCCGGAAAATAATCTTGGCAAAAATCCTAGTCCCAGGCTCTGGCCTGGGGAGCCAACATAATCATCACCCCGTGAAGAAAGAGGTGACCTTCGGTCCAATCACCGCAAGTTCTTCGTTCAACGTTTTTTAAATTCTTGTTGCCGTATGATCGATTTCAGAATCCAGGCTCTTATCTTTCCGTTACTTCTGTCACTCGAATAACTCTATTTTATTTAATTAATGATTTTATTGAGGGAAAAGCTTACTTCCAGTTTTGTCGGCGATTTTCTAAAAAATTCAAATATCGTTGCTTGTAGTAAGCCCTTTCGTTCCTAAATCCGACGGGTGAGGATTCTAAGTTCAGTATTTTATTTGCTGCAGAAACTATTATATATCATATGAAAAATGTATTGGATTTGTGAAATTTTGTAGCGATTGGTCCAATCATAGCATTCATCAAAAGACATTTTAGGGGGGCCGCCTATCGGTCGGGTAGAGGATCACGATAGATTATTAATCATTAGGATAAATCCCAGCAACTTGTATTGTAACCTTGTAAGGACAGGAGGATAAAATTTCGAGGAAGCTCCTATGAGGTGGAAGTCTCCGTAGAGAGGGGCTGTTCCCAGGGATCAAACCTTAGTCCTGCTCAATGGAAACTGGTTTTTGGTGAGTTTCTGGGTGTCTTAGAAGAAGCCAGCTACTATCTACGTGGCTGGATTTGGCTGCTATTGTGACCTCCAACACCAGAGCCGGCCTCAAAGTAGAGGCGGAACGGTGTGCCACCCTAGTGACACGATGGTGTGGGAGTAAAAAGCTGAAGATGGCTGCTGCTAAAGGGAAGGCCATACTCTTTAAAGGGAAGACTGACATGGCCCATCCTATCACCTTACTGTTCCAAGGGGAGCGAATTCGTCCAAGTGAGGTGATAACTTATCTTGGATTGAGATTCGGAAGAAACTTCAACATAATGTCTCACTTGGAATAGCTATCAGGGTCAACATCTCACCGAATAGGCTCAGTGTAATTGGGGATGCTCTCTGGGGGCTCAGATACTCGGCGACAATGACAATCTATAAATGAGTAATGAGTATTCTGAGGTACGCGTCCCCCGCCTGTTGCCTTAACCCCTCACAAAAGCTCTTCTTATAAGAACAGGTTGGCGACGATACAGAGAACGGCTCTGCTGCGGATAACTAGGCCTACAGTACTGTATCACATGAGGCAGTACAGGTCTTGGCAGGAGGGGTGCCTCTCGACCTTATCCTACTTGAAGATGCTACAGTTTTCGACTAAAAGAGAGAAGGCACGGCTGGGGTTTCGGAGTTTCTTCGATCGAGGATTGCAGATGAACCCAATAGATGAAAACAAATAATCCGGGAGCACACCATCCAGGAATCGAATCGACGATGGTTGACAACCCTCAGCGACCTTAAGAAAGTTCTGCCCGACTGTACACTCGCGATTAACTGCGAAATAGGTGCTCCCAGATTACTGGGTTTCGCAACTCCTCGTGGAGCATAGACGTTGTCGGGTCAAACTGCACAGTTTTGGCAAGGACGTCGACTAACTATGTCCCAGGTGCCACGTTCTGGAAACTCCCGAACACGTAGTAATGACCTGCACTGGCTTTGAATGACTTAAGAACACGCTACGGAGGAAAACGGGGTTGTTTGATATAACAGAAGGTGATTTCCCCTCCCTCATTAAAAAAGAAAACTACCTGTACTTCAAAGAGTAGAGGCAAAGACTGTACCGGGTGGAAGACAACTGTGGGACTGGAACAGTTTAACCTTGGAGACCCTAGGCGAAGAGAGGAGGCGACAGAAGACAATCCATACTGGACAAAGCTTCTAAAGGAGTGGACTTCATTTGAACTTCAGTTGGAGCACTAAAGTATAAATGACTGAGGTAGCTTGATAGATAAATTATTTATTACGCTGCCTTTACCAAAACCCGTATTGACGTAGGGCAAGGAAGGATGTAAATAAAAAATAAATAAATAAAAATAGTACTAAGCGATTTTTATTTCTATGATGATTTTTATTCTACTTTCGGTTAAAACGAAGCATGAAAACTGTTTACTTTCTTCTAATTATGTGAGGTCAGATTAAGAAAATAATTCCCAAATATTTACCAACCTTTCGGTCACAACTTATAACTATTTCAATGGGATCCAAAAAAGTATTGTAAAATTGTCTATAACCAACAAGACAATTGTACTTACTTATTTTTAGGTAAGCAGGTTGGTTATATATCACTTGATTGTTAAGCGTGTGAAAACGATACAGATTTTATGTAAAAAAATAGGTACGTAATAGAATAGAATACAGATTTCAACTCTTAACAAAACCTTTTAATGTGTATTTAGATGACTCGATCTTTTATCGACTAAATAACTGACCTTGAAAACGTAATTCAAACAGCCTTGTCAAATAATGTTAGGGAATTGATTAACAAGTAAGAGAATCTTTATTTGCAAATGAAAGCTCCATTAAACATTAATAAATAAAAAGTAATTCAAAATATAAAATAAGAACGTACTAACAGACGCAGCTGAAATTTATTTTGATATTCTTTTAGGAGTCATCTCTTATATTAGTAAAAAAATGGATCTTCGACCTGCGGTCGTCTGTTTTCAAAATTTATAGACTAATAAAAAAAATTTTTTTTTCAAGTTTTGTTTATTTATATGAAATATTATTATTGGTTTAAAAAAACAGAGAAATCATTTATTTTTTTATATTGTATATTGGTTGGTAAGGCTTTTGGTAATTATAAAGAAAAGTCACACCAAGATAAAAAAATATTATAAATGGCAATAATTATTATAATGTTAGAAAATTTCCATTGAAAATCAAAAATTATTCCTTGTTCGGATATGAAAGGTTCGTTACTAGTGTAGAAATAAAGATATTTTCGACTAATTCAGTAATGTATTTTAGAAAGCTATTGAAGTAACTAGTGAACTAATGAAGTAAAAAATGTTTGTCCAATATCTTCAAACAGTTTTTTTTCTACTTTTCAACTACTGCACCGCTCCTACGCGTTCCCGCTCCAATACATCCCTTTGTATTATCTACACTTAAGAGAGGGTAAAATGGAGGACACATATAATAAATTTTAATTGAATAATGTTTGTTTGAAAAAATATATATATTCGTAATAATTCATTTGTTATTACGTTCATTGAAAAGTACTATCTGAGCCACCAACTCTCTAATTATGTAATGTGTCTTCCGTCTCTTTAATATTGAAAAGTTTCCAGAGACTGAACTCTATTTTATAGGCCTTCTTCAGCGCTATAAAATCAAAATACGTGAATAATTAACTTAGCTGGTTAGAACTAAGTAAACAAATATTATCTATTTTATTTTATGAATGTATTATTGCTGTTATAATATTATCATATCTAGTTTACATTTACACAAACCTAATTTATATTGATAATGTTTAGATTCTCAATGCTGGTCGTCCCTTCCAGATCGAAAAGTTGCTGGAATAACCAGTTCAAGAGATCTCATACTTCTAGTATCATTTGAATTCACATTTAATTTTCTACTGACCATTGTCAGCCTTATCCTATTGTTTGGTAAGTATTTATTTCTGATTAATATTCAAGATTTTATCAAAGGTTGTATTTTTAATTCATTCATGGGGTAAACTTTTACTTTTCCAACTATAATAATGCATTAAATTAAACTAGCTTTAATAAATTAAAGGGTACCCCTCTTAAAGTCGAATTCATTGATTGAAATAGTGTAAAACTTTTGATTCAACTATATTATAATTCCACTTGTTTGTGACTCTCATGTAAGGGACAATTTTCTAGTGAAAAAAGGAGGTGTGAAAACTCTGTCTTATCCACGGGGGGTTCTACGGAGGGGAGGGACTTTCAGGCTGAAGCCACCCACCCTCCTGAAATGGTAAAATATAACCATGTTTTATGGAAAAAAATAGTAAAAAATTATCTCTTAAAGTATTATTGTTCGTGTAATTACATTTAAAAGGACTTAAACTCCATTTCATATAGATAGTTAGTTTCTTTCTTTTTTTCCAAAGTAATATCGTCATTTTTATGAGAAAAAAAAACCTTCGGGCTGAAGCCTCCCTAAAATTAAATCCTGGATCTGCTAGTGGTCTTATCCAACAAAACAAAATAATAAGTCTTACAGGTTCTTGACATTCTACCGAGTATAATAGATAGTGCAGTTCAAGTTAGGAGCGAGGTGGTTGAGCGGGCAATCAGATATAAAATTAACATAATTGGATAAAAATAATTACAAGGTCGGGTCCCGGTGCCGGATGGGATTTTAACTGTTGACATTAATCCTGCGCCCTCAGCCAATGGCCTGGGAAACCCCGTAAAGCCTTAAAGGCGAGGAAGGGTAGGACGAAAAAAAAAATAGCAGTTCAAGTTGGAATCAAATTTTCCAGCTTAAATTTTAAATTCAAATCTTGAAAGTTCTAGGAAATTACGGAACATGGAATAGATAACATTTAAATCAAATTGATAAGTGAGGATTTGCTTTTATCACTATAAAAGTTGTTTGTAAACTAACAACTAATAACAAACTAACAAAATACGGCAAATTTCACTTTGGTTTATTATTTCCAAACTAGTTGGTCCGTGCGAATAATTCGCACTGTATATCGGTCAGTGATCAAATAGTTATATAATATGGAAATAAGTACAGTAAATGATGGGAATGAAAATAAATGTAATGCACTTATTTCCATTATTCCAATGGATTTTTTTTTTATTATTGAAAATTGGTTTCTTTATTTTTTCAAATCAGCATTTTTCCGTATCCTATATTGTATAATTAATAATGAATAAAATTGTTTTATGCTTCATTTACAATAAGAATGAATTTTCTGCCATAATGAAAAAAATATATCATTATTTATGATGAGTTCTTAATTTATTTTAGTGATACCAAGAGGAAGTACTATTAGCTTTCTAGGCTGGCTTTATAGCTTTCTGTTTCTTGGATTTGCAGTGAGCGTCACTGATATTGTCGCTATGTCAACATTTTCTGCTGACAAGAATACATTGGTATGTAAAATAATTATAAATTATAAAAAGAACTTTTTAGTAATAGTAGTTTAGAGAATTAAATCTTTAACAAAATTAAAAGGAAACAATAGACAGGCAATTAAAAGTTTGTGAGAGTATTCTGTATATTTCACGTCAAAAATGAAAATTAAAAAAAACTCCTTCAATCTGCTTCTTTATATGTCACTTTTATTGTAGTTAAAAGATCTCCTTGGGAGTTTTCAATTTCCAGAGCGTTCCATATTTCCTGAAGTGGAGCGGAGTCGAAAGCAGCCCTTAATATAGAAAATCTTGAAAAATTCTTTTGTCTCGATCCAATGCTTGCATCTAATCCTCTATTAAGTCCTGTCTACCGGTTATGAAGCCTGTTCCAGCTCGAACTACCCCTCAATAATTCGTCCAAGTATTCTTTTCAAAATGCATGTATATAATTTATATATACAACCATACAAAGACTGGTTGTACATAAATTCTGGTTGATTAATCCAGTATTACTTCTATTCATATGAGTAGATTCAACGATGGACATCTGTCATTTTTATTGCGTTGGCAAATAAGCCCATTCGATTTTTCAAGGTGGAAAATCTGCAATATGTTGACTATTATTTAGTATGACTTTTTCTCATTTCCTCACTAACTGCATAATGCCATGTTCATAGAATGTCTGGAGCCAAGGCTCAATAATTTATTGCGAGTGACCAATGAGATGTGGGACCTAGCGTTGTCTTCGTGGAACACAACACCCTTGCGATCATTTATAACTCTTTAGGGTGTTCTTCAAATTCGATGTTACTATATCCGTTGAAAAGATGAATTATTGCTCTTCAAAGCCGTATGTATTTTTTTATTTAATGCCTACATAAAGATTAAATGAACAAAAACTCTTTATAGGTTTTTATTTTTTATCTCCATTTGTAGTTTGTTTACGAAGATCCTGTTGATGTCATTTTGTGTAGTTTATGTGGTCCTAAATTCCTGCTAAATTTCTTATTCGTATTGAAGTTATAACATTTTTTGTGATGTTCGAAAAAAAATCATGTGAAGGACCCAAACATAGCCTGGAAACAGCCGAGCTTGTGCAAATGCTTTTCTACGCTTGTGTGCCATAGCATTTCGGGCCGCAGCTATCTCTCGAGCTTTGATCAACAATGGCCATAACATTGCTCGTTTCAATTTCATGTGGGCGACCAGACCATTGAGTATCATTGATATAATAATTTCCTGATTAAAATTTGCCAAACCAATTTTGCCAGGTGCGTTCGGTTAAGGCATCATCCCCATTAACACTGCAAAATTTTCTATGAGCTTCTGCAGCACGCTTGTCTTTTTTAAAATAATACAAGAAAATATGGCAATAGTGAATGGTATTTTCTTCCATATTCAAAGTGCAATAACAAGCAAAATACTAAGCTAGTTTCTACAAGAATTAATAGATATAGTTGTTGACAGATTACAAACAGGATAAACAATCCACCTTAGGGATTAATTCATGGCATCAGAAGTGTATCATTGTGACATAAAAATAAACAGAAAAACTGGAAGGGTTTATTTGCCAACCCAATAAAAAGTCGAGAAAAAGCCAATTTTTGTAAAATCGCTTCAATTTAAACCAATTGTTATGTTTTTTTCTAATAATTTAACTTAATATTGTTAAATAAAATCATTAGAAACAGTTTAGGTCAAACCTATAAAACAAAAATTGAATATTTATCTACTTTCTGAAAATTATAGATGTCCGTCTTTGAAATAAGACGACTCGTATTATTATCAATAGTTTCACTATTTATCTTTGAATACACATTTTTTCGATTTGAGCCTATTGTTACTTCCTTCTCTTGCCACTCAGGTTATCGTAATCAGTAAAAAAATTCCATCAATCATCATTATTAATCTCTTTCAACAGGTTTATATTTTCGTTTTTTTGTGTCGCCATTGAAAAAGTGAATAAAACAATTTCTCAATCAAAAGAAATTTCGGAGAAGAATCAGATTTTTAGTTACCAGGAATGCTGCTCTACTCGATCGTTATGAAATATTTTTTAAATCCTTAGACATTATTAATTGTCTAGTAACATCGTAGTGGAAAAGGAAACATGATATCTTTCGTTAAATGAGGTAGTTCTGATGTTTTGGTATGTTGTAACATACGTGATAGGCTATGTTCAGAGCCAGGAATTTATGTAATTGCATATTTTGATTACATTTAGTTTTTCAACCGCTGATCGAATATCTTTACGAATCAGTGTACTAAGATGAAATTAATCAAATTTTATATTCCATATGTGGGGATAAATACATATAATTTCATATTTGAATGATTTAAACTAAACAAAAAATAAAAGAATTAGAAATAATAATATATAATTTGTTCCTGTCATATATGTTGATGCAGATAGTAAAAATAGTTCAAACTATAGATGATTATGTTTTCCAGAAACAAATTGAGAAATTTATTTATTAATTAGAATGATGTATACGTCGTTAACAATACGTCGTCCAAGTATTTTTTCAAAATGCATGTATATAATTTATATATCAAACCATACGAAGACTGGTTGTACATAAATTTCTGTAAATTGGTTGCTTAATCCGGTATTACTTCTATTTATATGTGTAGATTCAACGACGGACATCTGTCATTTTTATTGGGTTTGCAAGTAAGCCCTTTCAGTTTTTCAGAGTGAAAAATCTACAATATATTGACCATTATTTAATATGACTTTTTTATCATGACTTTTTTTTCATTATAACTTTTTCCCTATTTTTACATTTTATTTGTATCATTGGTCCAATTAGTTTTTAAATACAAATGTAGCCTATTTTATTTTATTACTAATTAGAAGTTTCTATTATTTTGATTTTTAAAAAAGTATTTCATATATTATGTTTTTAATTATTATTAATTTATTTTGACTTATTGTTGGCTACTTATTTTCACATTTATTTACGTTTTTTAAATTATTTTTTAAGTATTTCATATTATATTTTTAAACATTAATAAATATATGTGTTTATTTCCAGTTATTATTTTGATTTATAAAAAATAACAACAATACTTCCATTTAATTTTTAATCCTTCCTGTATTCTTTTTTAATACAAATCAATTGATTTGATTGATATTTTAGATATTTTATTGCATATTTAGACATTTTTTCATTGCATATTTTATGTTTTATTACAGCATACTTTGCAGTTTATATTGCATATAATATGACATATTTTGATTATTGTTACTGCAAAAAAATGTGGGCGTTGCATATATTTAATCAAAAGTTTTTAAAAAATGAACTATCTTTAATTGTCATTAACAATAAAAAATGGCTTAATATAAAGTATAAAAGAATTTAATAATTGACTTAAGGAAAAAAAAGAGGAAAAATGTTTTTCAAGATGAAAATTAATTTCCGAAAATAAAAGTCAGAATATATATGTATAATATATCTTTGGAAAGCAGGAGATTTTAGAAAAAAGAATATCTAAATTATATAGTCGTAGAAGGCAATGGGAATTGACGAAAAATATAAATAATAATTTCTGAAAACTAGTATTATTTAACGGGAACTATATGTGTTTAAGGAATTTCTATGAAATTTCCTTACTAAATGTAAACTTTTTAAATTATTTGAGTTTGATTTTAAAATCCGCCGAATCAAGGCTACGACACTGTTTAAAAATTATATTATATAATATTTATCTGAAAGAAGAATTAAAATATTTCATAGACGAGCAAAACATATATATATAGCCTTATATATAAATATATATTTACTGTAGTTTAATAACTCTAGATCCGATAAAATTATCATGTAACATTTATGTTACTCCGTTAAAAATACAACTCAAAAACTGTATAATAGATTAATTTTGTCAGAAAATATTTTTTATTCAAAGAATAGCGGTAAGTGAAAGTTGTGTGATTAGTGCACCAGATTTTCTAAGTAGGTTATAATTTTTTTAAATTAATTTAAATGATTATCAGTTGCTCCTTAGTCAACTAGACAAAATTTACTTCAAATGGAAGAAGAGTTTGACGTTGTCAAAACCATATAAAGAGGACTTTTGTGCAGCTAAATTAGGCTAAGTTGTATTTAAAAAAAAAAATCATAAATTATTCGCAATTTTTTTTTTTTTATTTTCCTCCAACTATACTACAGGTACCTATATTTAGAAAAACTTCCTCGTTTCCATACATAATGTCCAAAAAACTAGATCCATCATATCGGGAAAGTTTGAAGGGATAAAAGTTTCAGGGATTGTGTAGGTTGGTATCTACAAGGTTTCAAATAAATTCCATCTATCACTTCCGCTTGCCGATGAGCAAACGCAGGGTTGCCAAGAAGGGGGCTTCATGGCTGAAGTTACATCATCAGAAACTTTGAGGTTGTCACATTTCGACAGAGTTATGAATTTTCAGAACAAAAAGTTTTAAACTTCGGGTTAAGGGAAAAACATGGAACAGACCGCGGAAAGTGTAATTCTATATGCTCTGCGATTTTTCTAATTCTATCTTCGCTTGCTAGGTTCTTAGTTAAAGGTGATCAATAAAATATCTTGGAGAGAGGGGAAGGTAGGTTTTTTGCGCCATCTTCCTAGTTGAGGATGGGCACCCCTGGTCGTATGTGACTATTACTGATGTTGCTGGTTGATTGTAATTGTATGCCTAATGTACAATGGCGGGTCCAGGAATTTTCTCAGAGGGAGGGGGCGCATCTTTGTACCACGTGCTTTCCCCACCACTGCCCGTATCCCCCCACTCCTTAGCTGAGTTTAGTCGTTCAAAAGTCCTCTTTAAATGGCTTTAACAAAAGCAAACTCTATTTTGATACAAAGTAAATTTTCTCTAGTTTATATTGAAGCTATAATTAATTACTTAAATTAAATAGATTTTTGTTATCACTTGCAATTCAAAAAAAAAAAATGTGAGTTACATAAAAAATCACAAAACTCTAATTCCCTACTTTCTTGCTAAAAATCGAACCATTGTTTATATAAACCATTTTGTATTTACTGAGTATGGCTATATTTTAGAAATATACTAATTATTATCTTGACCAGTTTTATGAATCGCATGGATTTTTCAAGGAGACTATAGTTGCTGAAGATTGCAATAGGAAATTCGAGAATGAGGATGAATTTTCTCTATATTTCTCTTTTCTTTAAATAGGTGTCTTTTGTCACTTTTTCGGATTTCTTTTCCACCATCTAAGGGAGGGCACGCATCCTGGCAGAATTCTCTAGTGCTGGTCACGTTAATAATTTTTTTTATATTACATTAGGAAATTCATCGTCTATGAGAATGAATTTTCCTATCTTTATCTTTTCTTTAAATAGCTTCTTTTTAGAACTTTTTTTTTTTAAACTCCAGAATTCTCTAGAAACAAAACAATATTATATCTACTATCTTTTAAACCAACAATGATATAACATCTCATACAGATACATATTAATTATATAAGTGAGAGGGACAATAGTATTTTTGTAGGGGCGGGGGCGTGCGCCATAAGCCTTGGGGTGGGAGGAGGGCGGAATGGGGACTCCTACACAAACGTACTATGCCCATGTCAATCTTATCAAAATCCCATCTACTACTTTCGCTCCAGGATGCAGAAACGTATTAGAAACTACAACACATTTTTATTTTGAAAACGGGTTGCTGAATTTGTTACAAACTTTGAGTCGGGAGACTAATGTATAAATGGTCCAGTACCAAATTTATCGTATTCCATTTACTATTTTTGCTTAAGCATACGCAAACGGATTATCCTTGAAACGCTTATATTTCGAAAACAGCTGGTATGATTTGACTCGAAATTGTAGAGAAGTAGGAGACTAATGAGCAATTCTCTAGTATTTATTTCATCAAATTGATAGTTATTAGTTTTGCTGAAGTATACAAAAGTTTATTTCTTTGACATATCTATGTTTTTATTATTCATTATTTTTAACTACCTCTGATTTTATGATTATTTTAAGACTTTGTTAAAACTATTTTTTTTTTTTTTTGTATTTTCAAAATACATTAAGATAAACACTGTTTTCATTTTCAGGATGGAACTCCAACTAGTACATTGGTATCTTTGACTAATATGCTATTGCTAGTATCGGTAATAGCTTCCAGAGGCGTTGTGTATTGGGTGCTCAATATCTCTATCCTTTTCTACATCTTCATGTCAGCAACCATGCGACTCTTTAAAGCCGTAAGTATAGAAGTAATATATATATATATATATATGGATTTCACATATTTTTTGTGATCTTATTTTTATGATTTATGATGAATTTAATAATTTGTGTCATAGCCTCTGTCACTACCTCTCTACACTTATTGGGCATACTGTTTATAATGTCGGCATTCATTTCACAAGGAATTTCAGACCATAAAAATAGTAATACGGCTCTCAGTTCCTTAGGGTTAAGAAGCAGCAGATGGTGGTTACAAAGACATCTCTGCCGTATATCCCGCTTGTGCTCAATTGAGTTTTAAGACATTGATGAATGACTTTTTCCCGACGAGGTCGCATATTCTCGTCAAGAAAATGGAAACCCGTGTCAATTATGGCTCTTGTTAGAGGAATGTAATAATTATCTATAATTTCTTGAACTTGAACTGCTGTTAGATAGCGAATTGCAATGAGATTAACCTCCACAATGTGGAGTAGAGTTCGTCCTCCTGAGTAGATGTTGGCCCATACCATCACACTCCGACCTGTAGACTGCAGAGAGCACAAACTGTTCTCGGAAGATCCTTCGGTGCCTATGATCGCTATAAATACAGAAACGCGACCAGGCGCTCGCTGTACCATTATCTGCGGTGGCATAAAATTACGAATGGATTCAGTTGATATGGGTATTGGCAGAATATAAAACACTTTTAGGCTCTGTCGGGCAATATGAAAAGGATTATATCTTGCAGTAATAGTCCCTTGGTGAAGTATTGCGCCCAGATCGACTAACAGGTCTATTGGTACTTCCTATACCACAATCTGGGAGACGCCAACTGCATCGGCGATATCAACTTACCGGTGCTCTTGGCGGTTCATTCCCACGATAATATTTCGAACTTCTGGTTGAATATGATGTCTTTCCATCGTTAAACAAAATATTACTGGATTAAATTTGAAAAAAGTCGAAAACAACTGTTAGTTTACACAATGAGTATATTCTTCATTTAGTTAATAATTTATTAAAATTCAGAATACTGGTTGTTTACTTTTCAAGTTTGCTATATTAACAACTGAGAGAATCCATAAGAACAAAAATATACATATATATTGTATATAATTAAAACGAATGAAATAGAAATATTCCTATTCATTTTGGAGCAGTATAGATTAATTTATTAAATACCCATATTAAGCATATCCGTTATGGACTGTTGCCAATCTATCGAAGGTCATCCGATACACTTTGTGTCCACTATATATACATTTCATAACCCTTAGAAAACAATTATGTGGGCTTTGGAAATGTCATATATTTATGAGAACTTAAATAAAGAGATTGGTATAAAAAAAGAATAAAAGGAAAAAAAAAAAAGACAGGTACCAAAAACCTGGTCAAAATTAGTATTTACAAAATAACAATATAATAGTGTTCTTGTACAATTATGTATTCAGAATTTAATTTTGTGGTATTTTCCTTTTCTTTTTTTTTCTATATTAATAATTACTCTAGAAAGAAAAAAATGAACTATATGAAATTATGTTTGGGAGATCCTTGAACGCCTATTTAAAAATCTGGTGCGCGCAACACACAACTTTCACTTACCGCTCGACTTTGAAATCATATTATTTTTTGGCCATGTTGGGATATTATAAAATTTTTGAATTGCGTTTTTTATCTAATTAAAGCTAAAAACTTGCGGCTAACAAATCATGAATACTATTAAAATAACAAAAGTCTTATTTATTATATCACCGGTTGATTATGGGTTGTACGATCCGTTGATTATGGATTGTACGACTATTAATTATTAAACTATATAATTGCTAATATACACACACAAAGATACACAGACATACCGACCACTATGCGGGACTTGGTTATTTGGACTCAGGGTACCTCAAAATGTGAATTTCCGTTGAAAATTCAGATATGGAAATTTTTACGATCGCAATACTTTTCCTTACTGTATATTTCATATATAGGTAAGTGAAAGTAAAAAATGGGTAATTACGTAACCAATTCTACCTTTTAGAGACAATTTTTTTTACAAGTGCTTGCATTAATTAAGTGCGATACTTCAGCTCGAGATAATCTCTGTAGATTCGCCAGTTTCCGTAGATGAAAACCCTGACATTGATCCTGGAATAACTTTTAATTTGTTAATCTATTGATAGTCTATATTGATTGAACGGGTTGGAATTTATTTCGTGATAGACCTACGGCATTAATCTCGATCTTCGGACTCTGGTTAAAATAGGTTTGATTATACCTCTGGAACAACCAACTCTGTTCACCCTCCAAGACAGGAGGTCAAGTAAGAAGGAAAAAAGTAATTTCTCAATAATCACTTCATTACCTGTAGTATAATATAATTATTACCTTTACGGTTGCGAATTATTTTAAGTAAATGGCTGCGAAATATTTTAGGGACTGGCTCCATTCATCAAATATTGGCAGGAGGCGTAGAAAGTTCTTTGTCCCCCGCCCCTGGGGCATTTCATATTTACCAAATTTCAGTATTTTTAGATGTCAACTTATTATTAAACGTTTTGAATTCACCTCTTTTTTTTTTTTTAACTCTCGCCGAAGATGTCACGAAACGATTTCAGTAAGTTAAAAATAATATTACATATAAGATAGGTACGACACATTAAATATAACAAATTCAATATAGCTCAAAAATTATTACATATCTACTAGCGGTCAAGTTACAAACCATAATTTTCTCTTAAAATATTTGAATTGAAATTATTTCAAAACACTCACTGTACCGTACTCAATAATTTGAGCCGTCAAACATGAAATTCGGTTGGGACATTTATTCGAAACTACTGTACATTTGATCTTGGGTGTAAATAATAGGAAACACCCATGCATATATCTATTTTAATATTTTTTATATATTATTCTATTTATATAATATTTTCATCATTTACTTATTTGATATTTTTATGTCTTTTAGTGCAGGAAACTAGATGAAGATAGGAGCAAGATGAACGGAAATCTTAACGCTGCCTATGAGTAAGAAAATCATAACTATACTTATTAATATATATTTATAAATAATTTGAAAGTAATTGAAAATCTAACAATTTTAGCTTAAGAAATATTTCGAGGCTGGGTGCGTCACGTTATCAAAGGAAGCAGCAAGTTTTTGGGAGATTCTGAAATCATAGTTTATGTTTTCGCTAACTGGAGAGAGATAGATAATGTCTATATCGTCCATTTATTACAAAAAATCATTTGGATAACATTTCACTAAGAAAGAACTTTGATAATTTTTTATTTATTGAACTCAGAAAATAGTGTGCTTGTTGTAATTATATTTGGTATATATAGTATGGGTTTGTTTCATTTTAGTGCACTTTGTTGTTTATCGGTAAATAAGATCGAAGTTGACGAAAACATTTTTAAAAGGAACTGCTCTATCAAAAATGTACTAAGTGATTTTTTGCAATAAACCGATGAAATGCACATTCCGAAGCTTACTATTTATTGTATATATTTTTCCAGTATATATACTTATTCTGGATATATGTATAAACACATACATACACATTAATGTTAAATGTGGTATTTATATGTGTATGTAATATATGATGTGTTAAATTATAACATATATCTTTTCCATAAAATGTGGTCTATATAGTGCAATAAATTCTGATTGAAGGTAACATAACATTGAATATAAAGCATAAAGAACCATAGAAAATCTTTTCTATTATCACATCCTTCGATGATTCTAATTCATCTTATTAAGTAAACCATGATTAATTGAAAAATATTTAATTTTTGTATAATGATTAATCTTAGATAAAGTTACATTGTATCTTGGTTATCCTAGCAACTAGGTAGCTACAACAAGTATTTAGTTCAATACTTATGGATATATCCTGAAGTGTTTTCAGCTTAGAATTTATGCCTTACCCTACATAGGTGAAATATTCATAACCAGTGGTGAAATCCGTTTACCGTCCTCACCGAGTCTTCTGAGTAAGAAACAGTTTGAGCTTTCTATTTTTTATTAGTACTTCCCTACTGAACCTATAGTTAGGCATAGTTTATCCATCAAGAATTACTTCGTTGCACGGGCGGATTTACGGGTCGGGGCTTTCGAGCTGAAGGCCCCTTCCTCCCAAAAAATAGTAAAATATAACCATGTTTTATGGAAAAAAATATTAAAAAATTATCTCTTAATGTTCTAATCTTAATAATCTAATCTTAATGTTCTAAAAATTATTGTTCGTGTAATTACATTTAAAAGGACTTAAGGAATCACTTAAACACCATTTCATGTAGATAGTTAGTTTCGTTCTTTTTTTCCAAAGTAATTATCGTCATTTTTATGAAAAATAAGCTTTCGGGCTGAAGCCCCCCCCAGAATTAAATCCTGGATCCGCTAGTGCTTCGTTGTGCTTCAACTGTGTTTTTAAACTTTCGTGTTCGGTCAAGTTTAAGAAGCATAATATTTTGAAGTTACAATGAGGTTATGTTATGGTATTGCAATTCTTCGTTATAGTTCATATTATTAGTTTTGATTTGCACCTCTGCAAGAACGTATTACATTACTGATTCACGTACGTTCTCAAGAATTATTAATAATCTGTTTTGAACTATAGGAAATACCTAATATCTCAAATTTGAAAGATGTCTTAGCGTAGGTTAAAAAATCTAAGCGAGAAAAATTGTTGATAGTATTAATTTAATTGTGAAATATTGTAAAGCACCTCTTTGTAATAGTGATGTATTTTCATATATGTTAATACTGTGTTTACAAACAGAAAATAAAGAAAAGTAATGAGAATAATGAAGAAAATATGTTGCGATGTATCACACAATTTTCATTTATCTACATCCGATTTTCTTTAGCTTTCATTGGAAAGCGATTTTTTTAAAAAGTTAATAAGCCATAAGAATATTAATTATAAATAAGTACTTATGATAATTAATATAAATTATTAGAATTTTGTGCACAGTATCAAGATGAAAAATAAAAATTGGTTTGATGTATCCAACAATTTACACTACTTTATGTAATGTATCCTACAACACCCTACTTTTAGCATAAATATGTTTTTTGGAGTAAAAAACTTTAACATTACTACTTTAATTATAAATACAAACGGCAACATATCTAAGTTTTTTAATTCTCTTAATAAGTATATAATTTCTTAATAAGTATTACATATGTGGTTTCACTTATCATCCTCCTTCCAGTAGAAATATGTTTTCAAGTTAATAAACCATGTGAATAGTACTTAGATTGTTAATAGAAATTTACAACACTTAATCTAAAGTTTGATTAATAAATAATTCAATGATTAATAATTAATAAACCGATTCAATAATAAACAATATTGATAAAAGTAGACATTAATAACTACAAAAATTTAAAAGTTATTGGTTTTTCTTCACTCTCTATAACCTTATAAAACTTAATGTATAATTTTTTTTTAAAATATTTATCTTTTCAAAGGAATATTATACTTCTAATCCTTTCTGGAAATTCATTTTTAACCCGCAAAAATATATTTATACATTTTCTTCCGTAAATCATAATTATCAATTTTACATTAATATTGACTATGAGGTATCTTTAATATAATCAAATATAATAATGAAACATAAAAGTTCTTTGGAGGAAGATATTTTGGGAATTTAGTTTTTAAGTTACGTTATACTATTTCAATGAGGATGTTCCTACTTTTTAATAATTTTAAACTGTCCAATAATTTCACGGTCCATAAATAACCGTCGGAAGAGTAATGGTTTTATAAATTATAATTTTAATGTTTTAGGACAACAGCCGCAAACTAAGTAGTTTCTTAACTGAAAAATAGCAAACATTTCCTCCCTTTAACTTAGCCGTAATTTCAATTTTTTTTTTTTTTTTTTTTCCTTCTTATCATTAGACCCTAAATATCTAATAACTTCTCTAATAGCCCCGGAGCCAAATCCCAAAAATCGACCTTTTTGGGCCCTGGCTCCAGGCTATTAGAGAAGTTTAGATATTTAGTGTCTAACAATAACCAGAAAAAAAAAAACGAAATTGAAATTACGCCTAAGTTAAAGGGAGGAAATGTTTGCTATTTTTCCGTTGTGAAACTACTTACTACTTAGTAAGGGGAAGGGGGGGGGGGGAGGCGAGATGGCATGGATCTATACTATCCTTTAAAGTACGTTTCGGTTTTTTGGAATTCATAAAAATGTCTGGCAAATTGTCCAGGTTCACCGAGCTTCAGGGGCGCTCCTCACCACTTGTCAGAAATATAAAAAATAAAAAAAAGTGTATTAAAATAATTTATTTTTAGCCTATCAATAAATCAACTTTATCAGAGATATGTTGAATGAAATAAAATTCAAATATTACATAATATAAAACATCGTAAGGAATAAATTTAATATTTTAAGGAGAGAGAGATGAGATCTTTGCTCGGGGACACCGAATGTCCGAAGGCCGGCACTGGATGTAAACTTCATATTCATTAAAATTTATAAATTATTTTTTTCTGAATAACTTTTTTGGGGGTAAGGGAGGGATGTAATGAATTAAAATTACATTGTAATTAAAAACATGGAGTTTGATTTAAAATAGTATGATAAATTTACTTATTACATCTCAAAACATATCTTTTTCTGCTATTGTTTTAGAGACTGTTAAAATAGTTCACATGTTTCTGCTATCTAATCATTTTGTATGCTCTTGAGACCTTTATCAACCACGCAACACACTGCCCATTGATTTAACGGTTGAAACACTTTCTGTTATTGACCCCATTAGGTAATTTCGTTTCTAATAACTTTTTTTTCTGAAATAGTAAAATAACTAATATTTGTACGTAAAGATGGGCTAACAGATCTATTTTGAATTTCGATAGTGATTGATTTATTTTAAATCATTTCCTTGTTATAAGATATGTTTATAATATAAACGTAATAAGTTCCTTATTAAGAATATATGTTATTTATATATTCAACATAACAAATAGATATTATTAGTTGGCCCGTGCGAATTATTAGCATACAATTTTGTTTAGTGAAGAAATGGCAAATCAATATGGAAAGATCATATGTATTATATGAGAAAGGAATTAATATTTTTTTCTTGGTCGATTACAATATTCCATTTAATATAATAGACCTAAATATTTGTAAAAATTGCACGTCTATAGAGAGTAAACAAATAAAAACTCCTAACAGGTTTTTATTTCATAACTCGAGTTCTAAATTATTTAGTGGAGTACAGTTTGCGTCATTTAGTGTATTTAATAACGCCCTATATTTCTGCAAAATTTCGTGTGAACAGGCGGAAGTATTTTGAAGTTATCACACTTTTTGTGATTTTTGACAAAAAAATCACAAAGGGTGCCTCAGGTTAAATTTGTAGAAAAAAATTTCTTATTTTGATGGCAATAAAAATTCTTATTCTAGGGTCTAGAAAGATCTAGCTGCGAAATACAAATCTCAACTGTGTTTCTCCTTAAAAAATAATCCAACACATGATTTTTTTTTTTTTTTTGTGAAAAATTTAGTAATCCTTCTAATTATCATGGGCATAAACGAAAAAAAAAGCGTACTTTGAGTTATTCGCAAATAAAGTTTCTTTTCCTTCATAACTTTTTCAGAAATTTCGGGGGGATAGGACTATTTTTCGCATGTGAATGAGAAGGATATCTTCAAAATGAGTGATCAATCATTGGATTTGATGAAGAATTGACAAAGTTATGGCGTACCGACAAAAAAAAAAAACTTTTAGAAATAATATATAGGATGTTTTTAGACAAGGTTTCAGCTGTTTCATTAGTTTAAAATGATAAAGCTAGTTAAATCTCATTTGAAAACAGGTTAGTTTTCGACTATTCATTTATTTATTAGAGTAAATTATGTAATGTAATTACTTCCGTATTACATTATATGTAGATTAATACAATGACAAACATAAGTATATAAAGAAGCCAAAATTCAGCTGCAAATTCAAATTAAATATTTGATTGAATCAATTTTTTTACAAGTCCAATAAA